AAGGCATCTTATAATTGTAAATTAATTCGGATATACTTTTTGCACCATGTTTTCTAGCTTCGATTTAAACCCAAGAAGAGCTAGGAGATCGACCCTTCTTGAAATCGTTGGAGAGAGAGAGAGATAGATAGATAGAGAGAGAGAGAAAGAGAGAGAGGAAAATAAATTTAGAGGAAGAGAAATAGGAACCATATGGCATATATGGTAACTGTGTGTTGGGAAAATGATGGTATGGTGAAATGGAGAAGATGACAGGCATAATGGAGAGGACTGGCGGCGGTGTGCTGAAAAGGCTTGAATTTCTTTGTTAGAAAAAGAAGGTCCTTGAATCAAATTTGGATATGATTTGGTTGTAATCGGCAATGTTGATTTTGTTGGATATGATTTGGTTGCAATCGGCAATGTTAATTTTTCATCTCTAATCCTACCAATTTTTTACCCAACTTTTTTATCTTAAAAAGTATATTCCTACTATATTCCATTTGTGTAACTTATATAAACTGTTAAACACACCCAATAATAATAAGATTTTAACAAATATACATTCTATATATTTTTTTATTACAATAATATTATAAATTATATTATCATAAAATTATAACAAAATAAAATGTTATACATAACAAATTTGAGTTAATTATTAATTTATTATAAATAAATATTAAATAAATAAGATTATATTTATAACAAATATATGCTTTATATTTTTTGATCTATTTATATCGAACAAGAAATTGTTAGAATTAACTATCTTCATCGTTTTTTCGACCTCTATCAGTAACACTTCTTTCACGACTTCAATCGATACGTCAAAATCACATTAATCTTCGATTACCATATTATGTAAAATAATTGATGTAATCATTATGTCATGTAGTAATGTATAGGGCTGTCAAATATGTACCACGGAGAACCAACCAACATGTTACCAACCGAACCAAGAAAGTTGGTTACCAATATATTTGGTAGCCAACATGTTTGGTTGGTAGTACCGTACCAATTCAGTAAACTTGGTACGGTAATGGTATTAAATTTTAAATACCACGGTATTACCGTACCAACAAATTCATATATATATATATATATATATATATATATATATATATATATATATATATATATGTATATATATAACCCAAATCGTATTTTTAAATGTGAACTGTTTACTGTTTACGATTTTAGAAAGTATGATATTAGACATTAAACTTAGTCGATAGTTATTACCACATTAGATAAAAAAACTGAAAAGTTACTTATTAAAATTTTTTAGTGACTAGAATAGTTAATTTACTAATTTATATCAAGTGTCCCATATCATTACTAGTCTTTAACTATTACAATTGAAAATTAGAAAAAAGTTGGTAATATACCATTACCAATTTGTATCAACCAAACTTGTCGGTAACCAAACAAGTTGATACCAAGTATAGTTAGTACGGTACTGGTAGCAAAAAAATTATACCAACTATAATTGGTACGGTATACGGTTTGAGTAAAAATCAACTGGTATCGTACCATGTTCAGCCCTAGTAATGTATGTTTTATTAGAACATGTTATCGTTTTTGTAATATACATTTAAATTATAAGTTTTTGTAAAATATGTTATCGAGTTTCAAATCTTTAGTATACATTTAATTTTTTATATAAATTCGATAAATAAATATTAAACTCAATATTTATGATTAATTAATATAACTTTGTATAAAATAGGAAAGTAAAAATATTAAATATTATACTTAAACTATAATTAATAGATAAAAATAAACTGAAAATGTACAAAATAAAAAAAGAACTAAAATTGGCAACTTAAATTTTAACTTTAATTTTGGAGATATAAATAGTATTCATCCAAATATAGGAGAACATTCCTCAAATATAAGGAAATGCTATTTATATCTCAAAAAATAAAGATTGAAATAAGATAGAGTTGAAGAAGAATGAGAAAAGAAATGAAAAAAATAAAGTTTCAGGACAAGTAGAAGTTACTTTTATATTTCTTAAGATCTGAAAGATATTAGTCTCTCTCTCTCTCAATATTTAGTATCCCTTAGTATTTAATATGTAGAAAATAGAGAAAAATATGAAACAATATAGGTCGATGGTCTAGTCTACTATTGGTCTTGTAAATTATAATTGACAGAACATTCTTAAAGAGTTACATGTTTAGAAATCTTAAATACTTCATCTCTTTATTTATTTATTTATTTATTTATTTACTATTATCATTATTATTCTTATTTTTATGTTTTCTCCCTTTTCATAACGGCCGCTGATTCTTCCACATGAGGATTCTGATAAATTCACTGAAACTATAAGGGTATTGGCAACTATACCCCTTATTCAAATTTGTAATGTATTTTCTTGTTTTATGGATCCTAATTATTCCTGAGCAAATTCCGCCCAATTATACAAAAGACATTCCATAGTTAGATTTTACCCCTTGTTTTTCTCATTGGTGCTTATTTAAACCATCATATTTTTCCTTTTTGACATTTCACCCCTCATTTTAATTCTTATTTTTTTTCTTCTTTAGTCATTTTTTAACAACCCGCACTTATTTTTAAAGAGCACTTATTTTTAAAGAGTTTATAAAAACACTATGATAAAACTATTATACAGTAAACTACTTACCAAGAAAAAAAAAAACACAACTTCAAAGTCATACATATCAAATTAAATCACAATAAATGTTGTCTAACAAAAATATTCAAACTACTTATATGATATACCATCATTTGAAAATGCTAGATATATATTTAGATCAAGTAAGTTGCTCTCTAACCAATATTATCAAACACTTCATCGTTAATTTGGAAAAATACAAGTAGAATTAGACTTGAAGTTTTAGGTTTTTGTGATGATTCCACAATCTCAAATCTTAAAGGATCTCGTACGATAGAATTTATTCATCTTTCTTTTTTGCTTTTGGAGGTCTACCATTTGATCGACGAATTATGGTCCAAAGAATGTGTTGAATTTAGTTAAATGTTTCGTAATCATAGAAATACAAGTTAGAAAGTGAGAATAAAGTTTAGGAACTTTTAGATTACATGTGTTAATCCATATTTATTAGCCCTTATTTTACATGTTTTTCATCCATATATCTTAGTCGTTTTTATAACTATATGCATTATTAATTTTAGCTATTGTATGTTATTTTGTGCTTTTAGTTTAGCAACTCTTTTGTTATTATTAATAACTTGTTTTATTTCTTACAAGTTGATTGCATTCCATGAGACAAACATTCTCACTTGATTAGTTGTTCAAATGTTTGTTATTCGGATTTAACGGAAACCGAACCAATTAAATCGACTCATTTAAAATCGAAAACGATTAAATCGAACCTTATTTGGTTTGGTTCGTTTGATATAGTGGAAGTCAAAAAATCAATCAAACCAAAAGGAACAAACTGATAATCGATTAATCCTGCCCAATAACGTCCCTAAGCATAATCAAGGAATTAATATTTTTTTTTGATATTTAGAATAAACAAAATCATAGTCGTCAATATTCACAAGAATCATAACCTCTTTAAAAAAGGGCCGGTGATATAAAAAAATAACCAAAAAAGAAAAAGAATAAAAAGTACTAAAATGAGGGGTGAAATATTAAAATAAATAAAATATGGTGGTTTAAATAAGGAGCGTAGAGGAAAAGAGGGTGATAAAGTATAAACTATCAATTAAATGTTTTTTGGTGGAATTGTCAGACGAATAATTAGACACCAAAATAAAAAAGCAATACAAATTTAAATGAGGGTATAGTTGTCATATATTTATAATTTAAGTGGATTTATCAAAATGGTGAGTGGAAGAACCAACTCCCTTTTCATATGTTATGTTATTGCTAATTAATTTATTTAATATTATATTTATAACATAAATCAAACAGTTTATAACTGTTTTAGATATTTATTTGTTTACTAATTTACTAAATTTGGTATGAATATTTGTACGTTGTAATATTCACGGTGGAAAATTCATTTCCAGTAATGAATTGAATAAGGAACGGTTTGTGCAATATGACCACTGATCAATTTACAAAAGATCATTCAGAAAATATGTTAGATAATATTAGAAATGATGACACTTATATAAACCGATTCGTTAATCAAAATTTTTTGACCTGTTTATTTTGTCTTCACATTTAAGTTGGACACCCGTAAATTTAAATCATAGTTTCGCCACTGAATTATATTATCTATATTCACAATTGATGGATGAAGAAATATCATAGTCGATTTAAATTTGCCTTCCTGACTTCCTATATTTAAAACTAACAAATAAATTCAATTTTGCTATGTTAAACCGAGCTTTGGCAGTTAAGTTTTAAAGAAATATTCGGTTTTACTATTTGGTGTCTTTTGGGTTTATTCATTATGTAGAAGGTAAAACCAAAAAAACATGTCGGTATATATTGATAGGGGCATTGACTTCCTCCGACATTGGTCATGGGTTCAAGCCTTTTGGCTCATATAGTTCCCCTCAAAGCTTTGATTTTTAATTGAATGAAACACCTACACGTCAATCCAATCATCGCTTATGTGATTTTTAAATTCATATAATAATGTTTTATACATATTGTAATCCTAAAGATATAATAAATATTTTTAAAATACATTTAAATATATAAATACATTTTTTATACATATTTTGTTTTTATATATTTTTGGGCTAGTATCATAAAAAAATATTCGTTTTTATACTTCCGTTTTCAAGTCATGTGTAAGTGACCTATTGGTAACCATGTAACCTACTAATATGACAAAAATGAAAAAGAATTACGCAAACATCCAACTTTAATAAACCTAAAGGACACCGAATAGTAAAATCGAACATTTCTTGAAAACATATGAGCTTTTATGATATTAGCATTTCTCATTCATGTAATAAAATATTGATAAATTGACTGATTTCAAATAATTATTAAATGATATAAAGAAATAAATCAGGCCCAAACAATTCATGTCTATAAATTATAAGCCGACTTTGAAACCATCACTCCCACTCACCAGGCTTGACTTTGTTGTCTACAAAGAAGGTTTACTCTCATGGGGACGGTGTCTCCCACTGACAACAATCTATCTCCGCCGTACAATAAGGACTTTACAGCCGCCGGAGCTGCTGCCCCCAGGAAGCTTGATGCTGGAGCTCTCTTCGTTCTCAAGTCCGCAGGTATCTGTTTGGGGTTTTTTTGTAAGCACATGTCGTTGTTTATGAATTATGATGATTAACACCATGGTTTTTAACAAATGAAGTCCAAACTTTCGGATTAGTGTATATGTTATTTTTGCATCCTTTTATTTGTAAGATACAACAAATTACATAATTATTGCCCCTAATGAAAATTTTAATAATATGTTAAAACTCAGGACATAGAGGTGGACAAAGTGTATTTATCCTTGCACACACAAACTAAAAAAGCCTTGTTTTGTACCCATATATTTGTCAAAATTGATAAATAATAAATTTATCCAAGTCCTTTGAAAAATCAGCGGAAAAAAGTGTTGGGCTGATTACACCATTGACACATTTTTAAAACCGGGCTCGGTGTTAAATCTCTTTGTTTTGGACAAAAAAATATGTAATTGATATGATTATTGATAATATAATGTTAGTATACTTAATTTTATTCAAGTAAGGCTATAGCGTTTCTATCTTTGTATAATGTTTATTTCAAATTTATACAAATATGTGTATTACTTAAATACCTCAATATATTGTACTGTAGGATCATGGTTGCATTGTGGGTACCATTTGACAACCGCAATTGTAGCACCAGCACTACTAAGCCTACCCTTTGCACTAGCGTTGTTAGGGTGGGGACGTGGCATGGTGGTGCTGGCGCTTGCAGCAATCGTCACATTCTACTCCTACAACCTCCTCTCCTTAGTCTTGGAACACCATGCTGCACTCGGTCATCGCCAACTAAGATTCCGTGATATGGCCCACGATATTTTAGGTAACGAATTACAATTATACCCTCATGTAACTTCTATAAACGAGCATTCGACTAATCAACCTAATTCATTTTACAGGCCCAGGGTGGGGCCGGTACTACGTGGGCCCACTTCAGTTGGGCTCGTGCTACGGTGCTGTCATCGCTTGTATTCTTCTTGGAGGCCAGAGTCTCAAGGTTGGCTAACAACATTTTTTGTTTCAATTAATTTTTTAATTTTCTTTGTGTGTCAAATTTTCATAAACTAAACTTTTAAAATTTGTTTTGTAGTTTATATATTTATTGGCAATACCGGATGGGAGCATGCAATTATCTCATTTTATTGCAATATTTGGAAGCTTTACCCTAATTTTGGCTCAAATTCCATCTTTCCATTCTTTGAGGCACATAAACCTTGTCTCCCTCATCTTATGCTTTGCTTACTGTGCTTGCACAACTGTTGGCGCCATCTACATTGGTACAAAACCCTTAACCTAAGCCATGTATCTCATTTTATTTGTTTCTCGTGTTCTCCATTGATGTTGATAACGAAGAACTTTTTGCAGGGGATTCGAAGAAAGCGCCTCCGAAGAGTTATTCCTTGACCGGAGTTGGAATAAACCGAGTTTTCGGATTTTTCAATGCGATTTCGATCATCTGTACTACTTATGGAAATGGAATCATCCCGGAAATACATGTATATATTTGTAATTTCCTTTTTTCAATATATGCTTCTCATCAATCCCTACAATTTCAACACTAATAGTTCATATTTTATGTTAGAACAGGCGACAATAGCAGCGCCAGTGAAGGGGAAAATGTTCAAAGGGTTACTGGTGTGTTACACGGTTGTGATCTCGAACTATTTCAGCGTTGGGATTTCTGGGTATTGGGCATTCGGTAACAAAGTACAGAGCTCTGTTCTTCAAAATTTCATGGTGGGTTCAAACCCATTGTTGCCCAAATGGTTTCTTCTTATGACAAACTCCTTCACTGTTTTGCAAGTTGCAGCTTGTACATTGGTAGGTTCTCCATTAGACCTGTTGTCACTTGTACTTTTGAACAAAAAGTTAGATGTTAATAACTTTTGTTGATGCAGGTTTACTTGCAACCATCAAACGTGGTTTTTGAACGTAAATTTGCAGATCCTGAGAAGGGTCAGCTTTCTGTAAGAAACTTTGTGCCTCGATTGATATCAAGATCGTTATCTGTGATCATTGCGACAACTTTGGCTGCAATGTTGCCGTTTTTTGGAGATATAATGGCATTGTTTGGAGCATTTGGATGCATACCATTGGATTTCATTTTGCCTATGGTGTTTTATAACTTGACGTTTAAACCTTCCAAAAAAGGGGTAGTTTTTTGGGTGAATACTGTGATTGGTGTTGCATCAACGGGGCTATCGTTGATAGGGGCTGTGGCATCCGTACGACAAATTATTCTAGATGCTAGAACGTATCGTTTGTTTGCTAACATGTAAAACTGTGTTATACTTTGTATATGTATCGTTATAAATACAGATTAATTAAGTGATGAATATATAATAACGTTGTATTGAAGTTGAATATATGTATATTATTCAGCAGGAGAACCATTCGCTAGTATTCGTTAGTCAGGCCCAAGCCAAAGCCCAAATAAATACAGTTTATTCCATTGGAGAATGCTTTCACAGTTTCACTCGTTTTAGTCAATTAGACAAAATATATGGAAAACCTCCCGAGGGTTTTGGATTTTTGGTATATTGCTTTTGTATAAATAATAAACAAATATATATATATATATATATATATATATATATATATATATATATATATATAGGTTCAAATGTTTCTAGCAACTATTGTGTGCCTAAATGCACAAATGAGAATTCAAGAAATAATAAATAATTAAATAAATTATTAAAGGGTATTTTGGATCTTTTGTACTTTTAATCAAGGAAATCATATAATTGAAGTCTTGCAATTAAGGAAATAAAGTAAATATATTTGACCTAGTCATCTGTGTAGTCGAACACGTTCATCATCGGCATCAACACCATCACCATCACCGCTACCAACTTCCTCTCTTCGCCGACCTCCATCTTTTAATTTCTTCAATTCTTAACAATTCCAAACACTCACTCACTCAATTCATATCTTCTTCCATTAGCAAATTCCAACAGAGTACTCAGAGACCTCCAAAATCCTCAAACCCTTTTCACTCCAAAAAACCACCGCTAATGTGCTCTTCTTCACTGGTACTGCTGTCATTCTTCACTGTTCACATATCCACCATCGTCTTCCTCCTTTCTCCAATCAGAATTCCCATCGAGTCACCGGCATCGGCGTTTGATATTCATGTGTACCTTTCGAGTGTTCATAGATTTGAATCCGTATGCGAATGTTTTTCTATTTTCTTTAATGGAATCCATGAATTTTGCAAGAGCATATTTTCCGATCAATCCAATCCTATTAATTTTATAAGAGCATCGATTACATGTAAGCTTCATCTAACCTATCAATTTTGCAAGATTATTGGTATTTCCAGTTTTTTTTTCTTTCATTCTTTGTGTAGCAATCCTTGCCCGTCAACTGTTCGCTAAAATGGCTAAATGAAATTTTTTGTCCATTTCCATTGACTCTTCATCACTCTTTTACTTTAATTCAATTTTAGTATATGTACATATAAATATAAAAAATGATTTTTATGCATTTTGAAGGTATACATCAAATATCTTATGAAAGAACCCCTTTCTAAACTTTCATATTTCCGAAAGAGCCAAACTTTCATACTTGAAAATTGTTACTCCAAAACATACTACTTGCATATTCATAAAAACAATATTTTACATTGATAACTTGTTTACATAAGACTGGATACAAACCGACTATTACAAATTTTTATACGTTACACAACTTCCCAGTATACTATAAGTTATACATACATGATTACTATATACAATAGTTTCAAACTATTCAAAATCTTCTATCAGTATATAACTATACTGGTTGCTTATTGCCTGCAATTGTTAAACATTGAGAGGGGTAAGCGGTGACGCTTAGTGAGTTCAATAATAGATACAATATAACGTTATGCCATATATATACTTCAATATGGCAGAAGCAAAGAGGAACAAGGAACAACAAAGGCATATGTGAATCATGTGACAAACTTTCCATATCAATCAATGATTTGATTCAAAGATATACGATCAATGAGACATGACAATTTCTATACTTGATATACATCAATAAAACTTCGGCCCAAATGGCACAGAAGACATACACTTCCTGATTTAAACATTTTGGTAGATTTCGGGCTTATAGCCCTGTCTAACCATCTGCCAATGCCATAGAATAGAAGTCATTCTCTTACGGAGACATGCTCTACATGGCCAGAGGCTACGTACCAGTACCACCGTGAATCTAAGTCCTTTCACTGATCACATGGTCAAAGGTATAGCTTTGCTATCATAAATAGCGGAAATAAAAATAACACGAGAAAATAACCCGGAATAATAACACTGAAAAGCATATAGCACATATAACACATAACATACAATTGTTCCTATATATTAAACTCACCGTGAAATAACCGGGGGTTAAAATAGTAAATTGGGCAGCACTTCGGCTCTAAATATAACTTCCTTCGTTGAAAACCGGGCTCAGCGAAGGTAGAGCTTCAAACCGAAATGTCACAACTAGCACTTTTGGCTAGGAAATTCCGTCCTCAGGTAAGTAAGGACTATTGTGAGATTTGTGCTAACACTCCTAAGTGTTCAATATGAGTTCCTAAGGAGCCATAAATTGTTAGAATGCAAATCTCTCCAAGTATAGTGAATCTCTCCCAAATCTCTCCAAGTATGGTGAATCTCTCCTAAATCTCTCCAAGTATGTGAAATCTCTCCCAAATCTCCCTAAGTATGCGAAATCTCTCCAAGAATAGTGAATCTCTCCCAAATCTCTTTAAGTATGCGAAATCTCTCCAAGAATAGTGAATCTCTCCCAAATCTCCCTAAGTATGCGAAATCTCTCCAAGAATAGTGAATCTCTCCCAAATCCCGGAAGAGGAAACCCCAAAAGGACCCTTTTTGGTCCGGAACCTCTTGGTCCGAAACCCTCTTGATCCTGAACCTCTTGGTCCGGAACCCTCTTGGCCGGAACCCTCTTGGTCCGGAACCCTCCTGGTCCGGAACCTCTTAGTCCGGAATGCCTTCTAAGGGCCAAGAGGAAGCATCTTCGGAACCTCTGAAGTGACTCCGGAAGACTAAGGCTTGCTCCGGAAGGGCCTTGCACCGGACAACTTCGCTTCGCATCCTCGGTCCGGACTTACCTGATCTTGCACCCGACTCCGGAAGTGGGCATCGACTTCGGAACTCCGCCTGATGACTCCGGAAAATACTGTTTACTTCGGAACTTGTCCAGCACCTTCGGAACCTACCCAGCAGCTTCGAAATTGACCCAATTGACTCCAAATTTCCTAAGAGGCTCCGGAACTTTGAGAAATGCTCCGGAAATTTCAGAAGGACTTCGGAAATTGCCCTAGTGCTCCGGAATTCACTATTTAGCCCCGGATTTTGGACTATTCCAGACATCTTCTTCATTTTGGGGTATTTTGAGGCCGGGAATCCCACCAAACTCGTGTTTTTCTTAACTAAGACCCCTAAAACCTTTATTTTATGCTAAAATTAATTATTTTAAGCATATTTACATAAAAATAAATGTTTGGGATTTAGGAAGATCTTATCCTAAATCAAGATGAGGACAAAGAGTTTGACTTTATGATGGGATGCAAATTCCTCATTTCCCAAGCAAATCCCAATTAAACACAAAAATACCCATGGATATAAGTCTTGCACACCAATCCTCCAAGCAAGTGTCATATCACTCTTATCCCTCCACTTAGAATACGTGAACTCCTCTCCTCCCTTTTCCCCACTTCTCATTTTCATCTCCAGCAAACTTCTATGAGTGCTCTCAACTCCTTCAAGCCTCAAGTTCATCTCTTCAAAAGAAATTCCCAGATTTCTTTGGTGAGTATTCTTATCCTCTTTGAACAATAATTCTTCACATTATTCTAAGATTTCATTACATTTACACAAAAATTATTCTTAGGATATTTTTAAGTTCAAAGAAACTCCCAAGTGTTGGAACTTGGAAACTCCTCCTCAGCTCTTCAAATCACCCAGCAAGTCAACTAAGGTGAGCTTCATACCCCACCTTTTCAATATTTTAATGTTTTTGGGGGAGAGTACAAGTCAAATCTTGCCTAAATTCTTGAATAATTGCTTATATACGTATATTTGTATGTGTGTGTAAAATATTATTAAATTAATATTTTAGTAATATACTCATGGACGTAGGATTTCTCAATTTCATAAACAACAGAGGATACTTTGTGTACAAAAGGGCCTTCCAACTATTGGATGTGTCCAACTTAAGACCTTTATCTATGTTTTCATGTCTAGAAATAAGACTTATAAAAAGGAACCTTGATAAGTTGATACTATTTCTAGTGATTTTTCGAAAATGGAAACTTTGTGACTATATTGCAAACTGTCAGGGAGTATTTTGTAAATATTCAATATAAAAGTTTGCGTCAAAGAAAATACACAAGTAGAGCCTTTATGACAGAAATATTTGCATGTCATAAACTGTTGTCTTAAAACCTCCAAGAACATAAGTAATGTTCTGTATGTCATAAAACAGAAAATGCGTGTCATAACCGGCAGTTATAAATTTATACAAATTATAACTTGACACTTTTTCTCTCTCGACTAAAATGACTTATTTTTCAATAAACGAAAAGAACGAACACGAGCACCTAGTTAACGAGCCCAATCAACGATATGGAACGAGGACGATACTTCTATTCAATGAGTACGAATTTCATTATTTATCTAACAAATAATGGATCTCTAACGATTGCTCAAAAGGTTGTTAATATTCTAGTCAGACAAATCTCAAAAGTACCTAACTATAAAAATATTAGTGTACGTCTAAGTCCTATAAGGAGTTATAGCCAGAGTCTTCTGGAGGGAGAGCGGGAATTTCTGTATAGATATATACGGGGTTGACACCCCGCACCTTCGATGTTCGCTACAGCTAGACAGACCAGTCTAGGGTGACAAATGTCTTATCCAAACCGAGGGCGCTTGAGAAACGCCAAAACAGGCACTTCGTCAGATTAGTATGGTTATAACGACTCACTAGAATATGTTATATTAACTAGAAATTTATGTAAGGAAAACCTCATAAATAAACTTTGCCACGTTGTGTTGACTTTCCTACACGTGATAGGTGATGGTCCGCATTTGTTGTGTTGACTGTCCTTCTTCATCGCGTAGAATGTCCACAATAGCCATGTTGATTCTTTCTCCTACAAGTATCGAGTCGTAATACTGCTATTTTTACAAATTAAAAAGCGTAGGACTCTATGGAAAATGTTTATAAATGATTTTGATAACAATAAACTAACCCACACATATACATAGTTGGAAACTAGAACTTACAATTATTTTATAGTAGAAAATATAGGATTTTATGGGGAAAACGATTTTTCT